CAGTATAGGTATTGATATACTGTATGCCATCAAAGACATATGTCACAGTATAGATATTGATATACTGTATGCCATCAGAGACATGTCACAGTATAGATATTGATATGCAGTATGCCCTCAAAGACATGTCGCAGTATAGATATTCATATGCAGTATGCCCTCAAAGACATGTGTCACAGTATAGATATTGATGTACTGTATGCCATCAAAGACATGTCACAGTATATGTATTGATAAACTGTATGCCATCAAAGACATGTCACAGTATATGTATTGATATACAGTATGCCATCAAAGACATGTCACAGTATATGTATTGATATACTGTATGCCATCAAAGACATATGTCACAGTATATGTATTGATATACAGTATGCCATCAAAGACATGTGTCACAGTATATGTATTGATATACAGTATGCCATCAAAGACATATGTCACAGTATATGTATTGATATACTGTATGCCATCAGACGTATGTCACAGTATATGTATTGATATACTGTATGCCATCAAAGACATATGTCACAGTATATGTATTGATATACTGTGTGCCATCAAAGACATATGTCACAGTATATGTATTGATATACTGTATGCCATCAAAGACATATGTCACAGTATATGTATTGATATACAGTATGCCATCAAAGACATGTCACAGTATATGTATTGATATACAGTATGCCCTCAAAGACATGTCACAGTGTAGATATTGATATGCAGTATGCCCTCAAAGACATGTCACAGTATAGAAATTGATATGCAGTATGCCCTCAAAGACGTGTGTCACAGTATAGATATTCATATGCAGTATGCCCTCAAAGACATGTGTCACAGTCTAGATATTGATATACTGTATGCCCTCAAAGACATGTGTCAAAGTATAGATATTGATATGCAGCATGCCCTCAAAGACGTGTGTCGTAGTATAGGTATTGATAAGCAGTATGCCCTCAAAGACGTATGTCACAGTATAAGTATTGATATACTGTATGCCATCAGAGACATGTCACAGTATTTATATTGATATGCAGTATGCCCTCAAAGACATGTCACAGTATAGATATTGATATGCAGTATGCCCTCAAACACATGTCACAGTATAGATATTGATATGCAGTATGCTCTCACAGACATGTGTCG